GGTCTAATTACTGCTGTCTGCAATGATCTACAATAGTAAGATCTAGACTGCTATAAATAATATGGTTTCCAATGGTGCTGGCCTTCAAAAACCAATCAACACCCATATTATCACAGTTACCATTCTTCATCAGGGGTGGAAGATCCATTTTCTTTTTTTTAATAGATATTTTTATTGATTTCAGAAAGGGAGAGTGAGAGATAGAAACATCAATCATTGATCGGCTGCCTCCTGCATGCCCCCCACTGGGGATTGAGCCTGCAACTTGGGCATGTGTCCTTGACTAGAAATGACCCCGAGGCCCTTTAGTCTGCAGGCTGATGCTCTATCCACTGAGCCAAACCGGCTAGGGCATGGATGGGAGAACCATTTTCTATGATAATTCATGACCATTCCACTCAGAGCACCGGCAATGATCAACACAGGTCATGAATTTGTCCAGAAATGTTTCTCCTGTTTATCTTACAATTGGTGAAATACCCAAGTATAGGAGGTTATGAATGATTTGGATAACAGAACTGGATATAGGATTTTTGGGTTAAAAAAATATGCCCCAAAACATCCAAATGGTACGCTTGAATGGCTCTGAAAGCAGCCGCTCCATGCAGAATGCTATCTTTGATCAATGCCTACAAACACTAAATATTTTTTGGTTGATAAAAACTGTACCAAAACAATAGTTATATTTACTTTAGTTTTGTCCCTCGTGTGAAGGTGCAGGCTAACCCCAAATTCAACAGCCTCAAATCCTTTTTGGAAGGAGGTCATATTTAAAAAAACAAAAGCATAACCAAAGCAATATCCCAAATGTCTCCCAACTTCCTGTGGTGCAGTGTTAACTGGGGGCAGAACCTTCTATGGAATGAATGTATCTCAAGAAGTACCTCCTCCAATATCTTTGATAGAATTTCCTAGGAGAGTATCTACTTATGCTTGAGATAAATCAGAAATGACACATGAAATATGAGCAGCTTGGATACATGCATACATATTTAATAATGAAGCAGTTCATCACCAACAACAAAAAAATTAGAAAAATTCACGAGACTCAGTGCTGTGGAATAGTATGGGACAGCAAGGCAAAAAGATACAGCAACTGACCCGGAAAGCTGAATGAAGAGGGAAGCAAAGGCAAATTTGGCTAGGATAGTAGTATATGCTCTTGAAAAGGAGAATGGAAAAAAGAAAAGGAGAATGGCTGCTGCAATACCCACTTATTTGACTGCTTAGGAGCAGGCAACTTTATGCTGCATGGAAGGGAAGCAAAGAGCTAAGAAAGGAAAGAGAGGAGAGGGAGAAGAGCAATACAGAATCCAGGGTAAGCAGATGGAAGAGATTGCGATAGAGTTACAAGGAGATGACTCTATGGCCTTTTGTTTCCTCTGAGCCTGTAAGTATGTCAGTTAAATTCAATGATCACATAAATCGCACTAGGCACTGTGAAGGAATGGTGAAGGGAGTGCTTCACAAAGTACAGGGAGAACGTGGTCCCTGCTCTCAAGGAGCTTACATCCTATGTGGGGAGACAGATTCCACACACAAAACAACTATAAAACATATTTACAAAGCAACATAAATACAAATAAATATACATATGAATAAACAACATATGAAAGCTAAGGGGTACTGTGTCAATAATTGCTTAGAATCCCTAGGTCAGTCAAAGAAGACTTTCTGAAAGAAAAAGTTTTGGACTTTGACTATATAGGGCATGTGCAAAGGCATAGAAGTGGAATATGTCATGTCCAGTAAGTAAGCAGAATAGCTTGATTAGAGTAAAAAGTCTCAATAGGTCTCATTAAGTATGATGAAACAGTAGGGGTGTATTTGGTGAAAGATACTGCAATGTTAGTTCTGGTCCCTAAAACAAACAAACAGGGAAAGATGTTTTCTTTAGGTAATAAGTGGCCACAGGTCCAGGAGCAATTCCACTGCTCTCAAAAGTTTTGTAGTTACTCTAAAACTAGCAATAAGATGGTAGAGAAGTATTCAGCATTCTTCAGCAGCTCAAGAACTCTTGCAGCCTTCTGCAAGAACTCTTATGAAGTGACAGGTAGAAAAACAATGAAATTCAAAGACAGAGGAACTATCATCTAAAGGCT